ACAAAGCTATGGCGCCTGAATTGAAAGGCGAACAATTCATGCGCTCTCCGAACCTGTACGGCGATCCTGTGACGACATTAAGGTCAGGCTCAGCATCTCTAAATTCCCTAGACTAACTTTGACCATTTGGCTCGCGCTCCCCTTTCTGAACACGGCGCAGGCAAACTGGGCTGACCATGAACTTGAAATTAATCTAGTGTGTACAATTACGACGCGGAAGAAGACGCGGAAATCGCCATCAGGGCGTATCTCGAGAAATGCGAGCCATTCGATGTCAAGACCGGCGTCACCGATCGCGAGTTGGAGCGGTTTGTCGGGTGGTGGTGGCCGAAGGACAAGATCCCGCTGAAGGCATCAAAGCTGTGATAGTGATAGCGACGGCGACGGCGAGGATGCTCATCATCATGGAAGGGAGGGGGGTTGGATGTATATGACAAGATTTCCTCACTCTCTCAGCACTCGACTCGAGTCAATTTCCGAATATAGACGGGGATATGGATGGTACAGGACAGGAAACAAAGAGGCTTCTTCTTATTTTGAGTCTCGCGTGCGCCCTCCGAATCTTTGATGCGGCTGAGAGTTTTGCAATAAAGGAGGCAAAGAATGGTTCTGGGAGGGACGCCATCTCCAAGTTTCCACCTTTGTTTGAGACGTGCGATTCACTGCCAAGCATGTAATTGCACGTTCTTACCGTCGTCGTCGTTGTGAACGTGACCTCGTTACCTACCTCTCTCGCCACTCACGTCGCTGGCGCACTTCTTCACTGACGGTCACGTGCGTGCGGCGACGACTCGGTTCACCTGCCACGATGCCTCCATTCATCGTCGACGACGGTGATGGCTTGGCGGCTGATGCCATTTCAGACTTTGTTGATGAGATAGACTTGTCAGAAATCTGCTCCGACAGCGACGACAACTGGCACGCCTTCTACACCATCACGTCGTCCGACCCAGTGCACGGCGACAACGACGGTGACGTCCAGCCGCCGAACCCAGTGCAGCCACTCTCCTCCAATGAGCCTCAGCTCAACCTCTCTGCAAACGGTAACAACAGCTTTACCTTCATCGCCGACACAGCAACATCGTCAGCAACAGCAATGGAGGAGCTTTTTGCGCCTCTTGATATCGACGACGATGACGCCGCGGCGGCGGCGGCGGACATCAATGTCCAAGGCAACAGCCTTACACCTTCTTCATCGCCTCCTGCATATGGTGAAGCAATCCTCCATTTTGGCGAAATTGACCTGCCCTTCGTTCCCATCGAGCAACATGTCCCCGGCCAAAACGACATGATGAGTGGTGCGGTCTCTCACTTGGACGAAACGAGCACCGAGTTGCTTATGGATGACAACACAATCTGTACATCTAGCAACGCATGCCAAGTGGCACCTTACAAGGTCCTCCGACGACATCGGCTCTTCAACATCGGTCTGCCGTTCGCGGATGAAAGTCGTCTGTTCGAGTTGCCGAGGGACTTCCTCACCACATACCGCGGACTAGATCGCGCAGTGGAAGAATTTCGAGCCTGTGACCGAGACACGATTAACGAGATGGACTCCGACACTGCACTACTGGACATGATCGTTAAGAGGGGCGGGTTCACAAGCAACAGATTCCAGGAGGTCGTGTACCCCGAAGACATCATCCCGTTCGAATACTTTCAACCGGCTCCCGGAATAAATTTCGAGTTGAGTGGAGAGGAGGAGGTGCAGGACGAGGAGTATTGGGAGGAGATGAAGGAACAAGGCAAGATTTGGGACGAGATCTAAGCTCCTTAGGGGAGGTCGCCCTCAAAGTGTTCTTGTTCTAGCAGGCATGAGCATTGTGACATGTTCAATTGGCGTGGCTGGCGGACATATTCGGGTTCAGGTCAGAGAAGAGACAGGATTGTTGGCACAGAATTGTTTGGATATCCAGCGATGATGGCTGAATATCAGAAAATGAACAAAGTGATAGGGCCAAGTACGGCACAGCAGCGGTCAGAGTGATTACCATAGCGAGAGTGACCAGTCCACCAATGAAATTCAGGCTTGGCAAGAAACCCGCAGTCTAACCGCTTGTGGGCAACTGCTCCAAAATTTCCATGAGCGACGAGAAAAAGATGCTGCGTCTCTCCAAAATATCGCAGTTTGCGAATTGTTACACCCACTCCTGTTTTGTCCAATTTACCTTTCTCTATCGCTAATAGCCCTACGCATATCGTATCAGCTCATAATTTCATTTTCGTGACTACCTTCCACGATTGAACTCGACCGACTGACCCAGCAAAAAGGCATCTTGAGTATCTAAAGCACCGAAGAGATGGCGTTCGGCGGGACGCCGCGAGGTGGTCGTGGTGGTGGACGAGGAGGGCCGCCTAGGGGAGGCGCAAGAGGCGGACGAGGCGGTGGAAGAGGTGAGAGACAACTCCGTCTGCGACTCAGTTTGCAGATTTGCACCCCTCGAAACACTGCGCGAACAGGATCACTAACAAGTCTTTGTCACTCTACAGGTGGCGGTCCAGGCGCGCGAGGTGGGAGAGGCGGTGGGAGAGGCGGTGGCCGAGGCGGTCCAGCCAGAGGAGGAAGAGGTGGTGGTAGAGGTGGTGCGAAGCCCGGTATCAAGGGTGGAGCGAAGGTCATCATTGTACGTCCTCTCCGTGGACCACAGCAGAATACTCTCCAGCAGCACCGAAGAACAGATGGAAAGACACACATGACTGACCTAAAAAATCCTATTCTCGCAACAGGAACCTCACCGTCACCCCGGCGTCTTCGTCGCACGCGGCGGTAAAGAGGACCTCCTCGTAACCAAGAACCTCACACCGGGCGAAAGCGTCTACGGCGAAAAGCGCATCAGTGTCGACTCGCCCAACACAAACAGCGCAGACGGAGATGCTCCGGCTCTCAAGACAGAATACAGAGTTTGGAACCCTTTCCGTTCGAAGTTGGCCGCGGGTATCTTGGGAGGGTTGGACGACATCTACATCCGGCCAGGTGCTTCGGTGCTGTACCTGGGTGCCGCATCAGGCACTTCAGTTTCGCACGTCGCAGACATTGTCGGCCCTACCGGCCGCGTGTACGCGGTCGAATTCTCCCACAGATCTGGAAGAGATCTCATCACGATGGCAACACACCGCACCAACGTGATCCCCATCATCGAAGATGCTCGCCACCCCTTACGTTACCGCATGCTCGTGGGCATGGTGGACGTTATCTTCGCGGACGTGGCGCAGCCGGATCAAGCACGTATCGTCGGCCTTAATGCGCATTTGTTCCTCAAGGTCGGCGGAGGCGTCTTGGTCAGTATCAAGGCGAACTGCATCGACTCGACGGCCAAGCCCGAGGTGGTGTTTGCGAATGAAGTGAAGAAGATGAGGGAGGAGAGGATCAAGCCAAAGGAGCAATTGACACTGGGTACGTATTCCATCTCGCCCTTTTTTTTTTCTGGTTCATCTGTTCGCACCATATCCTTTGTTGTCAATCAAGGTTTCCTTTACACCCTTCGGGAAGGTGATATTCGGCCTCGAAAGGACCAATATAACTTACCATTCACGAGGTGAGCAACACACATGCTGATACTTTGTGTTTCTTTTTTGCACAGAGCCTTTCGAGCGAGACCACTGCATCGTTGCCGGGATCTATCAGCACTCTGCGCAGTAAATCGCCTTGCGTGTATATTATGGTGGGCGGTGGGCGGTGGGCGGAGGGGGATGGATAATGTAAAAATGGTAATACCTAAGTCGTTGGTGTGCCTTTCCCTATAACAAAATGCAAAGAAAAGAGAAAAATATGAAACTAGAGACGTGCTGCAACTTGCAAAGATCGTCGAAGATTGTCGAGAAGTGCATGAGCTGCTGCTGCACCACCACCGCCGCCGCCGCCACCATCACCACCATGAACTCCATCCCATGTGCCGCGCGCGCATCAAAAGGCCAAAAAGACACGAGGACGAGGGCGTTCACCGGCGTTCATGTGTTCTCATGTCTCATGTCTCATGTGTCGAAGGAAAGGGAAAGGGGGAGGAAACAGGGAATTTGTCTTGCAAAAACGCGTTAAGCTACGGAACTCTCGAGACAATCAACACATAGGACGCATTACGTGCGCTACACTGTCTGCCGGGTCATTCGAGTCGGCTAGTTAGTTCCTTATTCTGCTAGAGCCTTGCTCCGAGCCCTTCGTTTCCTTGATGGCTGCTGTGGTGCTCGTTTCCAAAACCGTCGATAAAAGGATCATCGGGGTTGATCTTCCTGCCTCTGGCACTGGCAGCTACAGAGGAATCTTTTCTACTTGAACATGTGGAACCGAAGACGACCAGCTAGATGTATTGCTTTGATCTCATATCACCTCAGGCTCGATCAACTGCATGCGGGTTCTTCATTTTTCTTCTCGTCTTCTTCCCTTTGCTTAAGCCGCCTTCATCGTCGTAGACATGTTCCTCCTCACCGGTCCATGTAGTTTCGATCCCTTGTTCTGGATCTGGAGTCGCCGTGGACCCCGAGATTTTTTCAGTGTTCGTCAGTTGTATACCTATTGGTGGCATACATGACATATAGATACAACATTGAAAGACTTGTCAGTGTCACCCAATCTCCGTACGGTACCTTAGACGGCATGATCCACGTCCCTCCCTCCTCTGCTCTTTCTTTCTTTGCCCTCTTCGAGTGCTGCTCCGCCAACCACCCCCCACCCCCAAATACAGGACGCGCGGGTTGGTGATCAATAACATGGAAAGGTGGGATTGACAGCATCACACTCAATGCTGCTGACAGCCGGAGCTGACCGTACACAACACTAGACGGAAAACAGGAAGATGCGAATGCTTCGTGAGGACTCCCTCGGCTGCTGGTGCGGTGTATTTAGAGCAGTCGTTAACGAGACAATGCAGCGCTTTTCATGCAGAAATCTCTCAACGTCTCCTCTGTCGGGAGTTGGCGACTTTGGTCGCTCAGGCAAAGAGAAATGGGGATACGGCATATTGCGAAACGAGACCTCAACCTTCCCACTCAGTGCGGTTCGCAGTTCAAACCTTGACATAGGCTACACCGAGCAAAATTAGTGATTTCCACTTTCCCATACCAAATATAGGGCTACTCCGGTGAAACAGAGAAAGGTGCGTGGAAGGGGCCACAACTTACTAGCATCTATCTGCTTCACTTGTGGCAAAGCCAACCTCACTTTATTCCTATATACCGCCGGCCCCTGCAATTGCAAGGGGTTCATTTCGAAGTATACCGTCTCCAAGTTCTCCTTGTCTCGCAACTCGTTTTCTACCTCTCGGAAGTCACTCAGTTGGTTTGAACTCGCCCACAACTCTTCCAGTTCTGTCAGATGAGAAATGTTTTCCAAGTGCGAGATTTGGTTGTTGGAGATGTCCAGGACGCGGAGTTTTTTGTTGTTGTAGAGGGCATCGGAAGGGATGGAAGAAATGGCGTTGTGCGACACGTAGAGTTCCTCTAAGTTAGTCAGGTCTGAGAGACCGCCTAGTGATATGAGGCGGTTGGATTTTAGGTCGAGCAGCCGCAGATTTCTGAGAGGGGAGAGATTCTTGATCTCGGTGATCTTGTTCTTGCCCAGCCAGAGTTCCTGTAATCTTGTCAAGGTGTCGAGGTTTTCGATCTCACGCAGGCGGTTCGCAGCCAGCTCGATCATGGTCAGGTTCGAGAGACCGTCGAGGTTTTCGATCTTGGAGATTCTGTTCTGGACAAAATACAGCTCAGTCAGCGAGTGGAGGTGGTTGACGTGTTTGATGTGCTTGATCTTGTTGAAGGACAAGTCGAGTGACTTGAGACATTTCATGTCCTCCAGCCCTTTGAGGTGCGAGATGAGGTTGTCGTAGAAATCTAACTCTTCAAGAGTGTCTCGCAAGTTGTCGGGGAGGACGATGTCAGCAATGACATTCTGGCGCAGGCACAGTCTTTTCAGTTTTGTGAAACGCTCGAGTCTCAAGGCAGGAACAGAAGATATGCGGCAATGGACTAGGTCGACGTCCTCGGAATCGAGAGGGTAATCATCTAGCAGGTCCTCGTCTGCTTCAATCTGCTCGACGGGCGGAGCATCGGCGTCTGAGTAGTCGGGGTCGGAGAGGATTTCGGGGTTGGTCAAGACGGCGTTGCGAGGAGGCATGCGCAACTTGCCATCCCAGCCATTGCTGTTGACCAAGGGCGCCGAGGAAGAAGAGTGGTGTTCAGCGGATTCGGGAGGCGGAAGTTCAATGTGGGCGTGTTTGTCCTCTTCAATGCGGTCAATTTTTGGCTGGGTGTTGCTTGGAGGGGCAGGAACCTGATCCTGGTCTTGGTTCGTCATGGCGACGTGCAGATGCTTTGTATCTGCAGAGACGAGGGCGTGCAAAGGGAGCCCAGACGCTGTATTTCAGAGCCAGGCGAGAGATATAGCAAGGGAAGCAGGCAGCTACAGTGGATGGTGCCTGGCAGATGATGTCGAGTGGTGGTCAGGACCAAGGCGAGGGTAACGAGGGTTGGCCACGCGATGCAAGATCGGGGATCGTCATATTATTACGAAGTATGTTACCAAAGGTCACAGAAAAAGCGTATCTTGCATGCGGATTGCTAACAACATTCTCCATACACTCTTTCCGAGTACGTTTTGTCAAGTCCACAAAATTCAACCTGCGGTGAGAGTCGCATCACTCTACACTCGATTGTAGACCGAGTCCTGTGGAGAATGTCACTGGCTCTCATTCAAAGACGAAGGGGTTCAAGGACAACGGCGAGGGCGTAGCAACCAAAGCAGAAAGGCATGGTATCAACTTCTTCTTCCCAAGCTGGAATCCGGAGAAGGGAAACAGATGGCTCTTTTGTCACAGACAACCCAAGTCCTGGTGTTGAACGATTCTCTGCCTTCTTCATGCTCGAATGGGATATTATACATCGAAGATACCAGTGACCCAGTGTTTTTATCTCTCCGTCCGAACACCGTCGTCAGCCGCTGTTCTAATACATTCATGAGAATCGCTTTGTGATCTTTGCAATGACTGTCGACACAATTAGCACTGACATGCCTCGTAGGACCACGTAGACCCGGTGCATGCTGGGGTGGACTTACGGTGCAATGCCACGACGCTGAAAATAAAGCCCAAGCTCAAGAACATGACAACCATTGGATCCACCTTCAACCCAGGGCTCTCGTCGGTATATAATCTCAACATGGTCCCTGAGGAACCACCCGCACCCGCAGCACGTGTCGAGGTTGGTCTGGCATTCTTGACTGACTCTTTGTGATCGGCGGCCGCACGACGACGGATAGCCGATCGAGGACCGCCCGGAGGGGAGCCAGCGCGTGCAATGGAAGAGGATCCGCTGGCTTTCTGGGTAGATGGGGTTAACTCGGGGCCTGACTCGGGCCCTGAGGTCATGGGAGATGCTGGTCTCGCTGAAGCCTGAAGAGATTGTCAGTCAGTTGCTCGGCTTGGCAAAGGAGGTGCGCAGGGTAGGTCATTAGAGGAGTGTTGACCTCATCCTGTGGGAAAGGAGAAGGAGGATTTCATACCATGATTGTAGGTGTATGACACCACTAGGGAGACAGGTCGAAAATGCGAGAATACAGTGCGTGCTATACTGGTTGCAACAGGCGCGACGAGCAGAGCAGCTCCAGGACCAAAGAGGTTCAGTTGAAGTCGCGCGAGTCGCGGGTGAGGGAGTGAGTGAGTTAGAGGAAGTAAGTATAAAGCGGCTGCGACTTGGTAACGAATGAGTTGTGGACACTTTTGCGAAACCGAATTCTGGGGAAATTCGAGACACGAGCCACGAGCAACAGCAGCTTGCACTGGGTTCGAGGGATTCCTCTGTTTCTTCCCCTGGCGCTTGGCAAAATCAATGCTCGCTATCATTCATCACCGGTTCACTCTCAGCGCACTCTCACTCTCCTCTCACTTCTGTGACTTCCATGTACCACAACCATTGCAATGCGCAATGCTCTCCCTCTCGTCATATTCCTCGATCCCTCTTCCCCGTACTTCGTAGTTCTTTCTGTTCAATGCTCGCACTAGAGGCCCCTAGGAGTAAGGTAGGTAGCGACGTCATCCAGTCAACGACATGCTCTGTGAGTACCAAGTACCCGTACGGGTCTTCCAGTTACCTGTATTCTGTACTCTGTACGGAGCACCTTCCTCAGTGAATAATGCGAGTACCCGGCGTCTGTTTGCCAGGAGTCCTCTACAACATCATTCTAGCAGGGCCTCATTAATGAGAATCAGGCCTAGGGCTGAATCCCACTCCCCACCTCAGCTGACTACTGACTACTAGTTGCTAAACCTGAGACCTGAACTGCTGACAGCAAACAGCGCAGGCAGTACTCGGTACTCCTCACCGCGCGTTGTATTTATTGTGTTTGTTATTCATCGCAACTGCGTCCAGAACCCAAGTCACGCTCCAACCTTCCATGTCACTGGTGACTCGAGCCTAGGGCCTTTCCATCTTCGACCGCCATGTTTCCCGCCAACTTCCTCCAGACCGTCCTCCATAGCTTGCTCTTCTCTTCCACACACTCTTCTGATCCACAGCCCGACAGGATGCTTGCAACACCTTCTCTTCAAGTGGCTGCCTCGCTCGGCGCCATTCTGAGCTCTACGGCTGCAGCTGCGACGGCAACGCCTACACCCGCATCCCGTGGCTTATTGGTGGACGCGGCGCCCGGAACGCCTCAACCTTATGTGCTGCCGAATCTGCAGGGCCACGCTGTGGATTTCGGGGGCTTGATTATCCGCACTTTGGTCCCCAACACCACGTCTTCAGGCGCCTTTTCGCTAGTCGGAGTGAACTCAGGCCCAGCGCCTCTCAACCTCATCCACTATCACAAAGAGATCGAGGCTTTCTACACCCTCAAGGGCAGTGTGCAAGTCTTCCACAATGCCGATACCGGTCGTGAATTGCGGGCCAATGACTTTGTCTTCCTCGCCCCCGGCAACAACCATACCTATCGCCCCAATGATCTCGACTTTCAGCTCACCCTAGGCATGGCTCCTGGGGGAATTGATCGGTTCTTTGCCGCTGCTGGTCTTCCTTACAACTCTACTGCCCCCTTCGACCCACAAGATGCCTCGCAGCTCAATGTGACCAAAGTTCTAGGCCTGATGCCCCAGTACAATATTGTCCCCGAACCCTTCAACACCATCAATCTCGACTGGACAAATGGGACTACCGCCGATGGCTTAGACACCTGGCATGTCGCCGACCAGTCTTTGCCGAATGATCCCACCAAAGCCTACTTTGTCTCCAGCAACCGCGGTCCCAAATACCTCCATCGGAGCTCTGGCCAGGTCGTCGCCCAGCTCGCATCTGGCAAGCAGACCAGCAACAAGCTCAGCGTCGCCAGCATCGCCATCAAGCCGAACAACAAGCAGTCGCAGCTCCAGTTCAATGTCGATCAGGCGTTCCAAGTCACAGAGGGTCAACTGCACCTCGAAATCGATGGTGAAACAGTACAATTGATCTTTGGCGATCTGGCCTTCATTCCCAAGCGCACCTGTTTCAGCTATTGGTCGACCGTGGGCTTCACTAAAATGGTCAACTGGGCGGCAGGCTCAGGGCTGGCCGACAGTCTGATTTCCGAGGCTGAGGCATGGGAATATGGAGTTTGGCCTGCTTGAGTCAACTCTGAGGGCGTCGATATGTGGTCAAACTGCCAACATGGGAATCAATCGGGCGTTCACGAGGCCAACGCGGGTTCCGCATCTGTATACAGTATTTGGAGATAGCGAGTAAGAATACATTAATGGGAATGCCAGCGACATGACGTCGTCCATTGTGATCATTAAAAGTATGCTCTTCGGAGAGGGAAGGAATGCAAGCTAGCACGTTCGGTGGTCTGCCGTTCTCTTCTTTGTGAGCTGATTGATTGGTTTCCGGGAAATATTGTACGCATCTATCGTCCAAAGTACTTCAGCTCCAGGTACCTCGCGGGTGTGTACACGACCGCCGTGACCACAAAGGCAAACTCGTTGGCGACATCGCCACCATAATCACCGATCAACTTGCCCAGGGGTCCCGTGTACCATGTCTCAACCATGCCCATGCACCATGCCACAATCCCCAACCCGAAGGCCGTAAAGGCGGCGATGCCATGGGGTAACCTAGACGGGTCGTTCCATGCGTCGAGCTCGTAGTTTGCGAAATTACGGCGCCGGAAGAAGACGTGTTCAGAGAACAAGATCACAAAGTACGAGGTGCACCAGTATCCCAAAAGGGAGAGGAAGTCGACCAAGTAAGTGTTGAGTTTCTCACGGCCACCGAGAGCGAGGCCCAGGATGGCGGCGAAGCACGCAAAGGTCCAGATGAAGCGCGGGACGCGGGCAAAGGGGCGGGCGAATTGCTGGCACGAAATCGCCGCTGAGTAGATGGAGATGACGTTCGTGTTGATGCCAGACAACACGAGCAGCACCAGCAGAAACTTGGCGAACCCGCGCGGGTGCAGCATGTCCTGGATCAGGAAGCCCAATCCCTGGTTCTCGTACGCGTCCTGCCATGTGGGCTTGTTGTTGAGGGCCGAGGCCACCACCGCGCCCGCGACCATGCCGATCGACGTCGGGATGCTGATGCCAAACGTCGTCATCAGGAAGACCTTAACCCGCGACACCGTGGCAGGGTAGTGCACGTAGTAGTCGGACGCCATGGTGCACCAGGAGGCGGAGGAGCCGTAGACGATGGCGACGAGCGAGAGGGCGGTTCCCGAAAGCGTGGCGCCGTGCAGCGACGAAGGGGTTGTGTTGTCGGCGTATTTCCCCGTCTCGCCGAAGATGATCATGAAGATGACGAAGAAGATGAGCCAGGCGTAGCGCTCGTAGACCAGGATGGCGTTGAGCCCGACAAAGGAGATGGCCAGGGCCACAATGGCGAGAATGACGATTCCCACAGCCAGAGAAACGTGCCCGTCAGCCACGGCGTTGAGAGCCAGCCCACCGGTAATGCACGATACAGCGGCCCAGCCGATCTGTTGGACTGTGTTCAGCGCGGCAATGATCTTGTTCGGCCACCATCCGAAGCTGTATCGCGAGACACTGATCTGCCTCAGCCCCGTTGCGGCACCGAACGTTGCGCAGTAGCCAGTGACGGCTCCTCCCAGGATAGAGGCCAAGATGTAAATGGGGATAGACTGCCTGAGACTCAATCCGAATTCCCACCCCAAAAAGCCCGTGGCGAAGCAGGACGTGTTCATGGTCCCGCTGGCCCAGAGGAGGGCCATGGTGAGCTGCTCATGCCAGGGCACGGGTTTCTTGTCTTCGGCACGCTTGCGGTCAATGGCCTCACTCTCGACGCCCAATTTCTCGTCCATGCGGGCTTCGAGCCGGCGCAGCTGGGAGAGGATGCCATTGTCTTGGTGAACGACAGTGTTGTTGTACAGCTGGGACTCGTCTGACGCCGGGCCGGATGTCGTGTCAAAGCCCTTCTCGCCGTCAAAGGCCTTGCTGGGTATGGCCGTCGCGGGCGGGAATCCCTTCTCCTCGTCGATGGTCATTTTACACGCCCCTTTGGTCTCTCTTGAGCGATGAAGGAAGAAGGTGACCGCCACAGAGGAGTCGCGTGAGATTTGGGATTGAGATTGCGGGGGAAGAGGCCCGTCACCACGGCCACTGCGGTTGTATTTATCTTGTCACTGAGTGGCATTCCCATGCCACGTTCCGGCAGGGGTTGTAATGGGTGTTTGTGCCGCATCCACCTGCCCAATCTTGCTAATCCCTCGTCGTATCACTTCCAGACCGTCTTCGATTCGCCTGAGAAAGCTCTGCAGATAGGGCCAACAGCTGCCATTGGAGGGGTCACCAGGGAATGCTATCTGGGGCGATCCTCCAAGCTGACAACCCCAAAGGGCAAGGTAGTATTCGGCATTGTGCTCGTGGGTACCAGATGGCGAGGACGGCTCTAGGCTCAAAGTTTGAAATTAATTAGCCCGTGGCTTGAGTGTTTTGGGGTTCGCGGCGGGTCTGTGGGACAGTGGACGTCAAGCATTTTGCTTGTATCGGCTCCCCAGAAGCTTGGTACGGGATCCGTTTCTTCAGGGGTTTGGGATGCTGGGCACCCGCAATTGTTCTTTAATTGATTAATCAATTCCAGACTCAAGTCATCGCGATGGATGGTAATTTCGTGAATAGAGGTCCAGTTTTGCGCAGGCAGGTCTTGGCAGCTTTGCCGTGTCCACAATACATTGACCGCGACACCAGCACCACCAGACCAGTGTTGTGTTTGACAGGCTTACGGACAGAGGCGCCGAATACTACAGAGGAACACTTGGGCTGTCATGTGAAAGGCCACCAGGACAGTCGCTTTCAGTTGGTAAGCAGCATTTGCCCAGTCAAAGCCCATTTTCGACTGTGCGGCTGAAGAGGGGGCTTCGAGACATCGCACCAGATTCTCAGCCATTTACACCTACGCAGCGAATCACGTCTACGGCAACACGAGCCAGGCACGCGAGATTGCCCAGCTGAAAGTGCGCGTCTCTGGATGCCAAGTCAGCATCAGCTCCCGTATCGCATGCAGCAGCGTGTGACCCCGGCGGGAGGGGGTCATGCTTACGACATTCCCCGGATTCCATGGTCGATGGAAACGAGCTATAAATTGAGCTGTTGTCGTGTGCTCGTTTTCCCAAAGAACAAAAGTGTCACCAAAAAGATCTCGCGACCGACTCTTCCTTGTCCGAAATTTGAAGGAAAAAGGAGAGACAAGAAAAAGAACTGTCTTCCTCAGAACCACAATGGTAACGGATCTCAAGCCTTTAGACAGCTACTTCGTCGATGGGAAACCTCTAAAAATCCGTTCCAGCCTCACGATTCCCCGGTCCTTTACCTCATCCGCCACGGCGAGAAACCTCCAAAGCAGCTCGACGGCGAAGACGGGCCAGGTCTCTCTGCCCAAGGAATCGACCGCGCCCAGAGCCTCGTCCAGGTCTTCGGCCGCAGCAGCCCGTATGACATCGGGTACATCATCGCCCAGAAACCCCACAAACGTACGTAGCGTGATGTGATTCATCCTAGCCGATCAGTCCATCCATTCATCCATTGTCTGTCCGATGCTTCCTCCCCCCTTCCAAATTAGGACGGGGCTAGGAGCTTGATTTCTTGCTTTGTTACACTGAGAAAATGACTCTTTCAACTCGGCGGGGCAGATGACAAACAGACCCGCCCGTACTTGACGGTGACGCCTCTGGCAGAGTCCCTCAAGCCGTATGGCGTTCCCTTCAACTTCACCATCAACCGGGACGACGTCGACAAGGTGGCGGAGGCGGTTCACGATTACATCAAAGGTAAAGGCGACTTTGTCGGCAAGGGAAACGTCCTGATCTGCTGGGAACACGACGCATTGGAGAAGATCGCCAAGGCCATAGGAGTCGAGAATGTGCCCGATTATCCAGGTTCTCGGTGAGAAAAAAAAGGGAATCTCAAACTTCCTCTTCCCTCCTCCCTCCTTTTTGTTCCCAGCCACATACCCAGAGTGGGTTTGCGCTTCTCTCTGACTGGTGCGAAACTCAGATTCGATCTCATCTGGACGATCGAGCCGCCGTATAAGAAGATCAATAGCATCACCTCCGAAAATGCACCAGGGCTAGATGATAACAATCCACCAATTCCGTCATGAGAGCGGGAGGGATGAAAGGTTGTTTTCGATGGCATGGGTCTGTTTGCGAAGAAGGCATGGGGCGAGAGAGGGGGAGGATTGAAGTGAGTCGCTCGGGACAATTTGAATATGTGATGCTGGCTCCCTTTTTTTTTTGTGCGGCACCGTTTGCCAATTTTAAAAGTCTTGAGAGGATAATGGATAGTGCAATGGGACAATTTTGACTTTTACCAGACACGGCTGGGAAGAAAAAGGGGATAATATACTCCGTATAAAGGTGTAGGGTCCAGGTCATGTGAATCACAGTCTTATCCATTTTGTTAGGGGGATCTTTGACCTGCGAACAGCTAATTGGCTAACCTAAAGCTTTTGGTATATGCCTAGATCGAGTGACAGCGAACAAGGTAGGGAGTGCTGTCTCTTTCTCCTTGGTATAAAGGATGTTGTCGGAGAGAAGCGACGGTTGGTCCAGTGGCGGAAAGCTCGTATCCCTCATATTCCTCGAGACCTTACGCACGAGAGAACTCGACGAAGGGAGAGTCTTCCCCATTTTTCGTTTCTCCTTTGCGGCAACTGTACCAGTCAGTTATTTTAACCACGCCACCAGGGCCAGGACTCGCTCACCATCCATTTCTTTTCTCTTGCTTCCGCTTCCATCGTCTTTCGACACCCCCTGACGTCACGAATCTTTGCAGGAGCATCGCCCCTTGGCATGACCGAACTTGTTTGTTCTTTGGGCGCCCATGATTGGCGTCGGTGGCTGGCAGAAGAAACACCATATCGCACGGGGAAGCGGGAAGACACCGAATCTCGCCTCCATTGACTGGTCCACACTCGCGTGACCGTGAAAGCTCTAATGCAATGATGTCCACACCTGAGGGCCTTTGTTCTCGACTAAGACATACATTTCCACCCCGCACTCACGAGGAAGGGTAAGCCAGCGAGAGAGAACCAATTAAACTCTGGGGAAAGGGACCATGATATACATTAGGATGAGAAAGATGAGCCTCCCCGAATGCTCGGAAATCGGAACTGGATCCTCGACATTGCGCCAGGCGTGATCAGCTCGATGGGCACAGTGGTCACCCGTACTCTCTCCCCAGCCTGACAGCTACCCGGCTGCAGCTTGTCTTCTGCACCAGGCTGATACGGCTCGCCGACCTCGAGCTGATAAGTGCGCGAAGGCCATATCGTGCTTAGGGCAAGAGCGCTGATGTAGTCGCCGACGCCGTTGAAGTCATATTTGAACTTGAAGTGCTGGTGCGGGTGGAGGAATTTGAAATGGAACCAAAGCCTGTCGTCCTCGGTGTTTTTCATCCGGAGGTCAACCTGCTCTGCGTAGAATATATCCAAGGCGAAAGAGAAGGCGACATTGCCCTGGGCATCTCGAAGAGTGAGTCTAGGAAGGCCTGCGGGGAGAGAATGGTTGTAGTCCTGCCACGACACGATCGGCTTTGTTGAGTTGATCAATATCGCCCCTTGCAGCTTTGAAGTGAGTCCCAGAGTCAAAAAGCAGGGCCCCTCATAGTTCTTTTCAGTTGACATGGTGACACACGACATTTCAAACTGTGCGTGCACAATGAGTGTTGACATGGTAATCGTAAATAGTTCGCTGTGGCGGGGCAAGGCTTCGGTGTAAAGACGCCTCGCACACGGTTTAGGTGGGAATTTTGCCTAGGCGAGATCGAACGTACACGGTGTTAGAGAATGCTGTTAGAAGGATGGAAAAGGCCCAGAAGGTATCGGCTGATGGGAGAAGGTTTCTTGCGTCTTGTGCTGAGTATGTAGTGATTGCGCCGTCTCTGGACCACCTACCTCAATGCATGTGCTGACCAGCACGTGCCTCCTTGGCACCCTTGCCACTTCTCGCACCCATCAGGCTGAGGCCCGACAGTTCATGTATCTCCCGCCTTTGCATCTTCTCTTTGCTGTTGGACTATTCTGCTTTATATACTATTACCTGAACCTGTGAAATTTGACGTGGCTATTACAGAAATAAAGCAAGGGGTTGCCTAAGATATGGCGGAAGGTAACGACGACAATTGACTGACGGCAACATGAACCATCAGGCTAAACCAGCGGAAAGATCATATATATACATATATCTGGTCATTTCGAGTGTGCCATCAAGAACTCGACCACACTCTTGTGGCCCCGCTTGTAGGCTAAATCAAGGGCAGTAAGCCCTTGCTGATCACAAGGAGACTCGAGATCGACCCCTCGTTTGTCCAATGCCTTGAGCACATTCAGGCAGCCATTCTTCGCTGCCCATGACAACAGTGTTCGGCCAGAAGGGAGGGTATAACCACAGTTGACCCCTTCTTCGATCAATAAGGAGACCATCGACGAGTCACAGTGGTCTGTTGCCAATCCCAGCAGGCTGGAGCTGAATTCGGGATTAGGATGAGTAGCCGACAGATGCTGCCAAAGAAGACGAGCAGCATCGACATTGCCATTGCTCACGGTTTTCGATAGAGGGCATTCGCCAGACTTGCAGGAAATGTCTAAATCGGCACCATTCTCAAGTAAGACCTTTAGAATGGCGGTTCTGCCGTAAGCCGCTGCCCACCAGACGGGAGTACAACCATTCTGGTCCTGCATGTTGATATTGACCTGGTATTCCAGCAAGATTCCCACTAGGCTTTCGTATCCGTATTCACAAGCAAAGGACAGTGGACTCCTCCCTCGATAACCTTGGCAATCGGCATTAGCTCCTTGGTCCAACAGACACTTCGCAATTGTTTCGTTTCCGTTCATGACGGCTGATAGAAGCGGAGTACGGCCATTATGATCTCCGCGATTTAATTGGGTAGGTGTGCAGAGATCCGACACTGCTTCTGCCAAACCTTTCTTGACCGCAAGCAGTAATGGTGTATATCCGTCCAAATCCTCCACGTCTGGGTTCGCATGGTGTTTAAGCAGGAGCCTTACCAGCTCCATGTTGCCGTTAGCCGTGGCCACAAGAAGCGCCGTTTGCTGCTTATAGTCCTTTAGATTAGCATCCGCGCCTTGTTCGAGAAGAAGTTCGACTCCAACGAAATAACCAGCAGACACTGCCCATAGAAGTGGACTCTTGCCCTCCAAATCGGTTGCGTTGGGGTTTGCGCCAGCAGCAAGTAGAGATCCTGCAGCATCAAGCTTTCGATGCATAATAGCCAACCAGAGGGCAGTCTGACCCAGTGAGTTCCGGTGCTCTAGACCCACGCCGCTCTTCATCAGCTGTTTCATCACATCGACGTTGTTACCTCTGGCTGCCCAGAACAATACTGATTGTCGTAATGAGTCTTGAGATTTAGGGTCTGCGCCCTTTTCAAGGAGTAGGTCGACCATACGCGCATGCCCGTGTTCAGCTGCCCACATGAGTGGTGTCTTTCCCTTTTTGTCACTCAAATTTAGGTCGGCATGCTTTTTGATGAGCAGGCGAACACCGTCTATATATCCACCCTCCGCGGCAAATGATAAAGCCGTGCGGCCTTCACATTCCGCAGTATCAACTTCGGCGCCTAGGTTGATCAAAGACCTCATCATATCCACAAGTCCCCGTTGAGCAGTGGCAATGAGAGGGGTAATTCCCCTTGAACCTCGACCATTGGGGTCACAATTCTTCTTCTGAAGCAGTACTTCGGCAATGGATTGGCAGTTCACCGAAAGGACGTAGGCGATGGGGGTTTCGCCGGTGGTCTCTGTGAATTTCTGCGGGCTGATCCCGGCATTTGCAAATTTGAGGGCGACTGAGAAACTTCTCCGGTGCAAGGCGTGCAACAGCGCTAGCGCTCGTCGGCTACCATCATGTGCGAATTGATCGAGTTTCAGCATGAGGTCGATGATGTCAGTTAAGTCGTGGAGCGTCGCCCATTCTAATAGGGACTGATCTTCAGATAACATCCTGCTTGGTTGTGCGCCATTTTCAAGCAGCTTTCGGATAATTCTGTAAGACTGTCCTAGAACCCAATCACTGATAAAGGAGAGTGTTGACCTTCCTTGCTTGTTTCGTATGTTGGGATTTGCGCCTTTGGATAGGAGGAAATCGACCGAAACTTCATCAGCCCTTGCCGAAGCCGAGAACAATGCTGTACGGCCGAGTTGATCTTGCAAATTGAGATCTGCTCCGTGTTTGATTAAGATCTCCGCCACATGCAGGTGACTGTAGCCCGAAGCCCACCACAATGACGAACGACGTTCGGAATCAAAAGCGTTGACATCGGCGCCGTACCTGATGAAGGAGCTCACCGCTTCGGCATGTCCATTCTTTGCCGCCCAGATAAGAGGAGTGCATCCCTCGGTATCTCTAGGATCAATAGTCCCATGTGCTTCGTTGTCAGCCACGGCGTCTATGACATGACAAAGATCATAATAACCGGCCACGTGCAGTAAATGCGCTTCCGGTCGAAGAGCACAAGCACGCAAATCCAGGGAGCAGAGTAAAAGCCATTGCTTCAAACGAGTTCGAGCGGGCCATTGGAGGTATGTCACAAGGTCTCGCTGTAATCTGCCATCGAGGTCGGCTTTCTTCAGATGCAAGGGCCACTTGGACACAGCATACTGAAGGAGGGGATATTCAGTTGTTGAATTTCGCGGTTCCTCAACAGAGAGCCGAAGTATTTCGTCGGCGAGGATATAATGCATGCAGCATCTGAAAATGAGCTCATGGGCTTGTGATAGCGTGTAGTCAAGTCCGGAACGTGATCGCTCTTGGCCGATAGATTGCTCGAGATCTTGAAGGCCTTGCTGTAGAAAGTAGTCCTTGACGGACTGATGAATGCATTGAACGATGTAGATTCCTTCAACAACCTCGATAAGGCCACCGGATAGAGCTTTGATTAACCTTTTCATCTGGTCGTCTGTTTCCGGGAACGTTTCTGAATTCGTCCACGCGGCGAGAGTTCTCGGTGGTGCCAACGGGTCAAAGGCCAGCGCATACCGCAGTTGGTTCAGGGAAAGCGGCTCCTCGGTCAGGCATACCCACTGGAAAAGACGTAGTGCGTCCGTCCTGTCCTCTGGCGGTATTTTCACCAATGCTTCCTTGTATATTTGTCCAAGCTCTGGAGAGCTATTTTGAATTTCCCGGCATATTTTTTCCAAACCATAGCCACGGCGCCCTTTGCGCTTTGCTTGTTCGAGGATGAGAGCCGTCCACAAAAAATTCCCAGCTGCCTTGTGCAAAATTGCGTGTTCAAGATCTTTACGCGAACGCGGGTTGTTGAAGACCAACGCGAGACCACCTTGCACAAATCTAGAAATGTCGTCCGAATTCTGATTTTCGACACAGATCTCAGGGGCACCAAATAGGTCCATAACAGGATAGTGGCGGCAAGTTATGCATACGCTTATTGATGAGCGACCCTCCAGAGTTGGAGTCGTCAGGCTCCAAAGTTCCGATGAGAGCTTTCTTGCCGTTTCTTCGCCGCATTCGTCCAAGGCATCTATGAAAATTTTGATAGAGTGCCTAGTATATTGTTTTGCTCGAGTATTGAGGAAGTCGAACAATCCTTTTTCATGCCACGTCCAAGCATGTCCATATTTCCCCTGGTTTTGTTCCTTCAACACGAAACTGTTTGCTAACTCGGTCAGTAGAATCTTCGCTTTTGTCAGTATCTGATGCAGAATGGATCGATATAGTCCGGCTGGGGATTTCTGCATCTCTGTGCCACGCCCGTGGATGAAAAATGAAGCCACAATAACGCTCTCATCTCTTTGCTTTTCGACCGCGCTTACCAGCGTGTCAAGAAGGACTGATTTCCCGGCACCGGGGGAGCCTGTTATCCAAAGTAGACCGTGATTCTGTGCAGCCCATTTCTGATAATCCGAGTGTTCTGTCAGCCAGGAGCAGGTTCCCTCAGCGGCACGATCGATGTTGTCTCTGCGACCGCCCATTTCCCGAAACCACAGCGACTTGAGACATTCTTCCCAAAACCATTAGCAAGGTACTACCTTGGAGACGGAACGCTTACCTGATTCGGCGGCTGCTGAAGAATACCCTTTCGCGGACAGGGGCCCGGTGTTGAAAGTAGAGGCTGAACCTTCTTGAAAGGAGAGCCCTTGGCTATATTGAGTATTGTCGCCCTCACTGCTGCTACGAGTCCTATCGGCCATGGCTGTTCGGAAGGAAGGCATCGGGTGGATAATCAATAAGAGCTCTTTCGCATAAGCAGCGGCGGTGGCAGCTGCATACTCCTGCCATTGCTTGTTTTTGTGCGAATCCGAGTAGTCACAAATACCTCGAATAACCAAGCAGTCAAAATAGTTCATCAAACCAGCAGCCTCCATCTCAAAGCACAGAACGTCCAATTCTGTACTCAAACGCTCCCTCATAATCGCATCTCGGATGACTTGGCTACCTGATGCAATCAAGCCATAATGTATGACCGGGTGCGTTTCGGTGCGCAGTGGCCGATCGACAAGGTTACCGCGGTCACAAGCTTCGCAGAGTCCGCTTTCTGAGCTTTGGTGGGGGTACGAGGGTACAAACAATTCATCTTTATCCGTGCTTGGATAAATGCAAGCCTTCCACCGGCGTGGGTTCCTCCGAACAACATCCTCGAGAATGGAACTGATCTGGGAACCTCCCTGGCTGCGGTGCTGGGCCTCTAGGCTGGATACCGCATTCAACAACACGTCGGGAGGACGATTGAGTGAGCCAGTTCGGACGAAGCGTCCTTGATGGAGGGTTTTCCCAAAATCGTACTGGACCACGCCGCCGAATTGCCCGGTTGGACGACTCACCACGACATCTCCCAAACGAATGTCATGTTGTGTTGTGGGGACGCCGCCACCGACTCCGACGAGAAGGATGAACTGAAGAGAGGGGAAGGTGCCGCGCATGGGTATTGCTACAGAAGCTGCCGATACAGGACCAATGACTCCTTGAGGTAGACATGCAATGACCACATTATGTGGACCTATTCGGCCCAAGACATAGTTATTGGGATCGTAGCTTGGTTGTAGGACAGGGTCATGTCTCTCATCAAGCATGTCCAGGGCGGCAGCCTCCTCTAATGGAAGGGCAGAGATCCACCCTACATGATAGTTGTCTGCTGACATGTTGCATAGTATGGCAAATCAGTCGTAATGATTATGCAATGCAAGGTGCTGGAGCATAGCCAGTCGTGCTCGCCAGCCTGACGCAATGTCGTTGGTTCGGTGCTTCTGTCTGCTAAGTGGGCGCCAAATCTGGAACATTGTCCAGGCCTATGCAGTCAACTATGGGACGACCAAGGCATAAGTAGGATGGGAGTTGAGGGGAGGACGAGTTTTGTTGTATCTCAACATTGCGGCACAGTCGACAACGGTAGATGGTCATGTGGAAGTGTGCTGAGGCTTGGGCTGGAGCGCTGTAGTTGGCGAGGTAGTGCAAACATCCGAAATATACCAAGCCTCCCCACGTGAGATCACTGAAATCACGTGACTATTCTCTCCTCGAAAGAACCTGAGACAATCTTAGAAGCTTGAAATGCATTCTCGATACCAATCCATCCTTTCCCAGAGTCGTCCCAGCGGGGCTCTCCTAGGAACACGGTTGACTTGATCTGTCTTCTCGGGACGAACATGGCCCGAAAGCGCCCGAAGCGCCACCACCACGATAGTGGGGGGATGTTCCAGAAGAGGAAATCTCGCGGCGGTCACGCCAAGATAGCGCCGACGTCAGTGGGGTTTGAGCAACCGGGATCATAACCAAAAGGTGGAGCGAGCGGTACTCGTAAGTTGCTCCATAACAATTCTCTGTGTACCTAGATGCGATGAGCGTGCCCGATAGAAAGTTCCGAGTATATAACCTGCCTGTACAAACCCGTGTCGCCGGTGTCCTTCAGAGGACGACTCCTGCGTGAAGTGCTTGAGCCGGTCGAATCAAACCTCCTTCTCTCGTACCCATCATTGTCCATTTTTCTTTCTTGGATCCTCAATATCGTCCTGTCTGCGATGTCGACCTCTAACGGCCATGTTGGCAAGACTGCCGGCGTCGTGAATGATACCTCTGCCTCAATCAAAGACTCTTCGGAAATCCACCCCACGAAGTCCAACATTGGCGTCTTCACAAACCCGAAACATGACCTTTGGGTGGCCGAAACGTCCCCAACCCTTGCAGAAGTCCAAGACGGGAAAGACCTAAGAGAAGGAGAAGTCTACATCGGCATCAAAAGTACAGGGATATGCGGCTCAGATGTACACTTCTGGCATGCGGGGTGTATAGGTCCCATGATTGTCACGGACAACCATATTCTGGGCCATGAATCTGCAGGCATCATACTATCCGTCCATCCCAGTGTGACAAATTTGAAACCCGGTGATAGAGTGGCCATTGAGCCGAATATCCCATGTTTCGAATGCGAGCCGTGTTTGACGGGAAGGTACAATGGGTGTGAGAACGTGGAGTTTCTCTCCACGCCACCCATTGATGGTTTATTGAGGAGATACGTCAAACACCCCGCCGTGTGGTGTCACAAGATCGGGAACATGAGCTATGAGAATGGCAGCCTGCTCGAACCTCTTTCTGTGGCATTGGCAGGGATGGATCGCGCTGGCGTTAGGTTGGGAGACCCCGTGCTCGTATGTGGTGCTGGACCGATTGGTTTGGTTACGTTGTTGTGCTGCGCGGCTGCGGGTGCATGTCCTCTCTTGATCACCGATATCGATGCCGGACGGTTAAAATTTGCAAAATCTCTCGTGCCACGGGTCACGACATTCCAGGTCCCAGTGGGGGTATCTGCAGAGCAATGCGCCGAGCAAATCGTCTCCGCAATGGGAGGTATTCGACCTCGTGTTGCGATGGAATGCACCGGCGTTGAATCGAGCGTCAACTCGGCAATCTGGTCAGTCAAGTTCGGCGGCAAAGTCTTCGTGATCGGCGTCGGCAAGAACGAGATGACGATCCCCTTTATGAGGCTGTCCACGCAAGAGATCGACCTCCAGTATCAGTACCGGTACAGCAATACGTGGCCAAAAGCGATCAGGCTGGTGGAAAGCGGTGTGATTTCTCTGGAGAAATTGGTCACACATCGGTTCAACATGAGTGATGCAGTGGCCGCTTTCCAGACGGCGAGTGATCCAAAGAGCGGAGCTATCAAGGTCCAGATCAAGAACGACGATAGCTTATGAGTTGGGGGAGGCTGGAAAGGAGAGGCCGGAGATATAAACGCATATGGCATGTCAACCGCATTGAAATACCGGTAGATGGCAGGGGTACTGTGATGGAGCGTAGGCTCTTCCATAGACTGTAGCACAAGTTGCTTATTCCTATCTCACCGGGCGCCCGTGTCCTCTATATACGATACCTACCTAGTCCCCAAATTCTGCCTTGACCCAATTCACTTCATGATCAACTACTGCATGACGCCCTTGAGATCCTCACCCTTGATCCAACTCGCAAGAGCCCGACCCTGCTGCTCGTACCAGCTATGCATGGTCTCCTCCTCGACATAGCCCATATGCGGACTGAGCAGGACGCGACTCCTCCCGTTGTGGCCCCAATAGCCGCTCCTCCGCCAGGGCGTGTCTTTAGCGAGAGGCTCCGTGTCGAAGACATCGAGCGCAACGCCTCGAATGCTGCCCTTTTCGAGGGCTTTGACGAGCGCGGTCTCGTCGACGAGCGGCCCGCGCGACGTGTTCACCAAGAAAGCGGACTTTTTCATCGCTGCCAGCTCTTGGGCGCCGACGATGCCCCTGCTGCGCTCGGAGAGGACGTAGTGCACGCTCAGCACGTCGGCCTGCGCGAAGAGTTCGGCCTTGGACGATGCGACGCGGAAACTGCCCGCTGGAAGACCGCGTGAGGATGCGGCTTCGTCGGCCTTTTCTTGCGTCAAAGAGCTCGACCAGGCGAGCACTTTCATCCCGAACCCCAGCATGCCTGTCACGGCGCACTGCGTGCCCAACTTGCCGAGACCGAGCAGTCCGAGCGTCTTGCCCGCCAGCCCGGCAGTCAGGTGCGTTTGCCAGCCGCCGGACGCGGCGTTGGGGTCTTCCGCCGACGAAGACGTCGATGGAGACGAGTTCTTGATCACGGTGTCACCGTGGACGATATCCTTCGCGAACCCCAGGATCAGCGCCCATGTGATCTCGTTGGTCGCATCATAGCCCTTGACGGCGTTCGGCTTCGGCGTCGTGCCTACAACCGTGATGCCCAGATCCTTGCACGCCGCCAGATCGATGGCCGCGTTCTTCATCGCCGTGGTGAGAAGCAGTTTCAGGTTCGGGAGCTGCTCGAGCACGGAGCGTGAAAAGAGCGTGCGTTCGCGCATGGACGAGATGATAGTGTACGGTTTCAGCCTCTCGACCAGTTTGGCGTGCTCGTCGGGAATCCGTGCATTGAGCGTGCTCGGGAATGTGTCGATTTGAACCTGCCCCTGGAGGGATTGGAAGTGAGGCAGCGCGATGGAGGCGTAGTCGTCGAGGATGGCGAGTTTGAGTGGACCGGAAGAAGACATGGTGGTCGTCGATGCTGATACTTGTTGTGATGTGTTGAAGGGTCCTAGCTGAGGAAAAGTATTCGGGCGGGATCGCGCGAAGATGTTGGCAGTGGTTGTCAATCTGTGGACCGCTCTGGCCGCGAGTCTCATGTAGATCCCACGAGATGTCGCATCTGTTCCAAAAATCGAAGCGAGAAATCAGAAAAAGGGTAAGAAAATCTCAAGATCGGGTTATATATCAATCTCAATCCTGAAAGATGGATGGCGGTTCAAGGAGGCATGTTTGTGGCATGTGTGTGTGGTGGTCGGCCATTCTCCGTTGAGGAGAGAAAAGCAAATGCCGATGTCGCTCTCGAGGGATTTGGGGAAAGGCTCGTGTGCCGTGCCTCATCACCGTGTAGAGCCTTGCCCTGATTACAAATGCCAAATGCCGTGAATGGCGAGCGGTGACTTGTTTGGAGAATATACATACTTCATTGGCTAGGTAAGGCAAAGGGCAAGGAAGGGTTTAAAGATGAAAAAAAGAGCACAGATATCAGAAAAGGATCCAGAGAGTCCGACTAATACAGCGGACTGGTAGAGAAAGCCCCTTGCTTTGCATATCGAATGTGCCATGGGCCCGACCGTCGCATAGTAAATCTGGCTCCATGCCGGACACGGCTCAACAAAGCATCCTCACGTAGGAGTTGGTTTCAGCTATCCAGTGTATGCATCCAAATGGTTCGTCGTTGCCGTTACCTCTTGCCCACGTAGGTTAATGCCGCCACGACCAACGCATCAATTCCAATCGTCAAAGTCGGCTGTACAACCGGGGCAAAAAAGGGGCTATGGTTGACGGGGATCTTGTGCTCCTCGCCCTTCTTGACCATCTCATCATACATGCCCGCGTCATGCCCGCCAAAGAACCAGAAGCAGTACGGTTTTCCAATGCTAGATCCCAGGATGCCGAAATCTTCACTCCCCAGCACGTTCTTGAGGTTCGGGTCATGATTGTCCTCGCCAAAGTACGCGGTGAAAGACTTGTTGATTTCGCCTGCCACCTCGGCGTCGTTGACGGTTAGGGGAAACGAAGAAGTCGGTTCGATGAGAGGTTCCTTGGGGCAATCGCCCGCCAGACACTCGGCTTTGATGATTCTCCTGACTGAGGCGAGGACCCGATCGCGCCATTCGACGCTCACGCTGCGGATGTTGATCTTCAGCACGGCTTCGTCGGAGATGACGTTCTCGGTACTCCCGGCTTGCAATGCGCCCACGGTGACCACGGCGGTCTCGTCGGGGGGTACTTCCCGAGAGCGGATTGTCTGTAAGCGCACAACGACATGGGAGGCGATGACGACGGGGTCGATCGTGCGATGGGGCATGCTGCCGTGCCCGCCACTCCCGTAGATTGTAACCTTGAAACTGTCTGCCGCCGACATGACTGGTCCTGCCCGGGTGGCTGTCTTGCCGGCCTGGAGAGGAAACACGTGTTGACCGAGCACAACGTCAGGAATGGGGCAGGCGTGTCTGTCGGCAGAGTAGAGCCCGTCATCCACCATCGCGCGGGCGCCACACCCTCTTTCTTCGGCAGGTTGGAAGAGGAAGACGATGGTCCCAGACCAGGTAGACCGGGCGGCGACGAGTGTCTCTGCAGCGGCCAACAGGGACGTGATGTGGAAATCATGTCCGCAAGCGTGCATGACGGGCTTGATGAGTCCGTCTGTATCACGCATCGTCCTCGTACTGGCGTATGGCAGGCCAGTCTTCTCCTGGACAGGAAGGGCGTCGATATCAGCCCGTAAGAGGATTGTCTTGCCGGGACCATTCTTCAAGATGGCGATCTGGCCGTGCCCGCCTATCCCGGTGCGTATGTCAAGGTCGTCTGAGAGTTTCTTGAGATGCTGGGTGATCAAAGAGGCCGTTTCTTTCTCTTGCGTCGAGAGTTCTCCGTTGGCATGGCAGTGCTTGTAAAGCTCCTCATACCGAGTCAGATCAGGGCGGTATTTCTCGACGATGGAGGCGAAAGAGGAGGAAGATCTGAGAGCCATTGATTCACCCATGACCGATCTTGTGCTTGCAGACGTAAGCAGCTTTTACTGAGGCCCTGTCGCGGGTAATGGAACAAACAGGGAGAATACATCATCTCAAACATCCAAGACACTGGGTTCATGACAGTTCATGGCACCAATTCTCCGCACTATCGTTGATCAAGGAGAAGTCCGCCGTCCACAAAGAAGACGCTTGACCAGCCTCGGTATCTGTAACTCTTGGAGCCCCTTGGAGCCCTTGGAGCGCCCAGTGAGCGATGCTTCGAATTGCATAATATCATCCTCCTCGTCCTTCCATCCTCCCACGGGTCTCATATCGAATATATGGACATCAGAACCTCCCTCGTCAACGGCCATCATGGCACTTACGAAAGCCCCTGTTCAGCCTCAATCGCCCGAACAGTTTTAGTCCTCACTCGTCGAGTCGCTCGAACACTCCGCACAACTCGACTCTTGACACTCGATGCTTTCTCCCGCAAACTTGATGATCGGCTGACGGACGCCTTAGTGGTCTTTCTGGGAACGCTCTTCTCAATCAGTGCGGTGGAAGATGAAGTGGACACAACTCTTCGCTTGACCGTCTTGCTCCTAGTACTCGCAACAAGCGTCTTGAGTTTCGATGGACGTCTGGAGAGACCTTTCACGACCGTCGCACCAGTCTTTCGCGTCATAGCCTTTTTCATGGGCTTCCTCTTTCGCACCGTGACGGGACTGGTGGATTGTGAGCGACCTGAGACCTTTCTCTTAGGTGCAGCAGCAACCTTAGTCTTCTTAGTGATTCGACTGGCACTCTCTTCTAGAACGTCCGCTATCTTTCTTTTTGAACCTGCCAGCTTGCTGCGACCCTTGGTTTTCTCCTCCTCGGGGCTCTTCAGTTTCCGCTCTTCCTTGGATCTTGGTCCTAACACTCCGCGGCACTTTTCAGATCCGCATCGGCACTCTTGCACGTTCTTCTGAGAATACGGATCGAAGTTGTAGTCATAAGTGAGCTCTTCTCCGGTCATGATACCCCGATCGCCTGCGAAGAGGGCCATTCGGGGCTTGCCGTTGACCGTCCATTTTTCCATCCTGCAATTCGGCTCGCAAGAATGATTGACGAATCGTGCTATGGATCCTCGAGTAGCATCAATGATCATGTTCTGATCAAAGAGCATCAAATAATAGCACTGCCCTGCGTCAGTCTCGAATGTCAATCCGTCCACTGATTGCCTTACCTCATTATTCTTATACATGGTCTTCATGCGGCGCTCGCATTCCTCCTGAGTAATGATCTCTCCCGTATATTCCACGATGATCTGATTGGGGTCAAAGGTACGATTGCTCCGTACCCCGTAGCCCCGGTCCTCCGTCTTAATCACCTCCACGCCAATGTTGTACTTGCCTCCTTTCTTGACTCGTTGCCGGAGGCCCTCAAATGCGCGATTCCCACACAGCTCGGCCCCGAGGTTGCAGTTTCGCTCATCACATTCATAGTACATATATCGATTCATGCAGTTCTGATCGCAGCCCGTCTCAGGCTTGCACCCACAGCTCGAATGTTCCTCATATTTCGACACTCGCCAGGTTTGTGCTGCATCGCCGACAACGACGTTTTTGTTAACTTTTCTCCACTCGTCGGGCTTCGGTTGACCGGCTGGGACTGGAGAAAAGATGTCGAAAGGTAGCTTGAAGTCCCGACCTTGTTGCAATAGACGCTCACCGCCGAACATCGGTAGAGGCAAGACTGAGTTTTCCTTCACCGGTTCCGAAGGAGCTACGCTCGTGCGTTTGCTCCTTCCCTTGGCCGGACGCATATCCACTACCCTGGGCTGACCGGCGTAGAGCCCCGAGGCAAGCCACCTCTTTTCCCGCCGTCGAGGAGGAGGTGTTTGTTGGACAAGCTCCTCAGAGGGCGTATCACCCTCGCTGACGCGCCTCTTCTTCGAACTGGGTTCCCGAGCAGCAGATTCATCGCCTCCCATGCTTTTTGATCGTGTCGCGGTGCACAAATCTGATGCTCTGTCCTTCCTCTTTCCAAGCACACTGTTGGCAATGCTCGCCACAACTTCTCCCGCCTTTTCTAGGACTGGCCTTCTGGACGACCTTCTCGTCGACAGTTTCTCTGCAGCCTTCCGTCGTTTGTCCCACATTTTGTTGTTCTCGGCCATTTTTGCCTTCTTCCCGGCCGCCTTCTCTGCTCGTGGACGCGGTTGCTCTACATCTTGCGCAGCATCTGTCGATTGCCTAGGCACCCTTGCTGTGGTGTTCTTCCTGCCCAATAAATCCTCCTTGCTTTGTTTCGTAAGCACTTCGCTCACATTCCAGGGCAAATCCAACGCAGCAATGCCTTCTTTGACTAGTGTTGACTGACTCGCATTTTCCATGTTAACCAAGGTTTCGCCGCTGACAGTCCTTGCTTTGGGGTCCTCATTCTCCACATCTTCTACAAGACCATTCTGACTCTGTTTCTTGGTAAGCCGGGAGCTAACGCGTCGTGCTCGGCCTTTTGGCACTTCTTTCATAGTCACGTCGCGGGCATCCTGGAGGGACACGTCGAGGGAGCTCTCGGAGGGGGTAGGGAGTTGTTGTCGAACGGGTCTGGTGGTCACCACGACTGCACCCATGTCACAGTCGGAAGATGTAGAGCTTGCAGAGCGCGGCAGCACAGGCCGAGAGTCTGGCGAGGCAATAGCTTGGCGGTAAACATTGTCGACCCGTGTCCGGTAGAAGTTGAGGAGCGTCTGACGGAAATGCATCGTGTAATCGCGGGCTGAGGCCCGGCGCCGAAGCGTGGGAGAGTGGACGCGTCGACTGTTATCGATCGAACCGCGTGCTGTGTTGGAAAGAAGATAGAGACTCGTGGGAAAGAGGGTACAAGATGAGATACTGGGTACGCGTGGACAGGTTGAGACGGGGAGGGGTGTAGCAAACGAGTGGCTGGGCTTGCAAAGGGATGCAGGATGCAAGATGCAAGATTGGGAAGTCAATCAAACGTGCCAACTTGGTTGATACTAGCAGATACTAGATAGGGGAGAAGCCTCGCCTGTTGGCCAATTGCGGCCCCGGCACCACCGCATAACAACAACAACAACAACAACAACAACAACAACAACATTCCAAACATCCCCCAATCTAATATGATTTGACGCTAGGCCACTCAGCCACTCTGACACACATTTGGCCGTGGTCTGGTCCAGGATCCTTGTGTATCATGCTAACGCCAGCTTGGGTTGGGTGGCACCTAAACAATAATGTAGGGTTCCATTTTCACGGCCTGATATACATTCGCTGTCCAGCAAGAGCCCAATTACACTAGTATATACAGCCTCATTTGATCTCTTTCTTTGGCAAATTCCTCCCTGCAGGTCCTTCAAAGGTCTTTGGTGCTCCCTGTACCGGTTTCATCTCCATTTCCCCGTTCTGCGCCTGATTGCCCAGCTTTGCTTGCCGGTCTCCCCTCCGCGCCCCAAATCGCTGGTCGCCTTCTTCGTATTGTTTCTTGAAGTGAAGATAAGTAGGAGGCTTGGGTCGTGCGCAAACGGAGACCCAGTTTTTAATCAAGTTCCCTTGTGTGAAAGGTCGATGTCTCTCGGCCTTGGGGAACCTTCGAGATGCGAGGTACTCTCTAGTTGTCTCGCCTTTGCCGACAAGCAGCAAGTGGTACATCCACAATGCGAAGGGATACGCAAACCCCAACAACCCATATATAAACATGGCAAAAGGCACACGATTGTGGTCTATGGCCGCGCCGAACGAGACGTGTCTCTGATCTCGGTAGGCAATCACATGGCCCAAGGATGCAAAGGCCAAATAAAGACCCAAAAAGGTTGCTGTGCTGACAAAGGTGAAAAAATATCGGTAGTTGCGTCGGCCCACGCAATTATTGAGCCAGACGCAGTGGTGGTCAAGGGTCTCGACGCAATTATCGCACACTCGGCAATGATAACATCGCGGCGGTCGCCAAATGTTGCAAGTCTTGCAATACTTGACCGGTACATCCATGGCTGCTGTTTGCGAGGTGGCCAATCGTACCATGACCCAGTCATTAGTAGGAGGCCCAAGAGTCAAGGGATCGTGATTGTCCTCTGGCGGAAACGGATGGATATTTCGTGGAAATACCTAATGGATGTGAGCTCAGCCAACAACACCAGGATTGGGTGAGCCCTTACCCCTGGATCAACAAGAGAAGCATGAAGAAAAGACGATAAACAAATGAAAAACAGATACGCAAATATTATGGGGACGGCGGGCGAGACATGATGCCACAACCAGGAAGCCCTACATCTGTCAGTTCTGTTGCAAAATCACCACTAAGAAAGGTGCCCACTCACGAATAGACAAAGAACAAGACCGCCGGAAGAACTAAGAATATGCCAGTGGCAATGTTGATGGGGCGATCTCGAGCATTTTGAATACGACCCCCCAGCCAAAAGATCGTGTTGCCCTCAAAGTACTCATAGTTCTTGCCCAGAGCACTCTTTACAGCAACATCAGCATTAGAATCGGGTGGGTATCCAGGAGAAGTGGCATTCGAAGATAAATGCAGATGTCCAGATTCCAGGCGATGCTTGCTGGCTAGGCTCAAACCAGACCGAAATGAGAGTGGTGATTTCTGAGGCGGCTCGCCTGCCTTGAGAGTGGTAGCAATATTAAGCCGAGACGGCCGACGTGGTTTTTGGGAATTGATTCCGTTGACGAGCTGAGTATCACCATCGTGCTGGGACGCAAAGTCGGGAGATGCGGCATCAACAGTGTCTGGCGCCTCGGATTGAGTATATTCCGTCGTTATCGAGGGAGCAGGCCGATGGTTTCTAGGCATGGCATGGAATGGGCCTTGTCTGCTGGACGCAATACTTCTGGCATCTTCGTCCACATCACCATCTGGAATCGGCGCCGGCGGCTGCATAGTCCTAGCACCGAGAGGTCTTCTCAATCTCTGTGCTTGTAATCTTTGGGAGCTCATTGGCTTGAAGAAGCCTTGTGCTGTCAATGAGGGAACATGAGTGCGACTGCCTTGGGAGACCGGGCTCTGC